TGACCCTGCAGCCACCATCAACCAATCCTGGGGCACTTAGGACAGGGCAACAGACAGGCTAAGAGCTATTTGCATGTGTACTGACCCTGCAGCCACCATCAACCAATCCTGGGGCCTCAGGCTACCTGCTTAGTATGCCTCCATCTCCCCATCTCTAAAGGGCTGCAATATTCTTAACTCCTAACATTGGTGAGAGCCAGGGATGTGCAGACGTGACAGCTCTGATAAATGCCATGAAGTGTCAGCTACTATTCCAGCCTCCAGAGAGGGAGGAGGCTGGTGGCTGGGATGGTACCACTTTTCTGCAACTCAGCATCCTGACTCATCAAGTCTGACAAAGAACCAAGAGCCTCTGCTCGAGCCCTGGAACTGGACAGACTAACTTGTAAGCCCTTAGATGAGGCACCTTCCCCAGTACAGACTTCAGTTTCCTTTTCTATAAAATGAGTGGAGGGCTATCAGATGTCTGTCTCTCTTTCCATCCCTTGCAGCCCATGAGGTCATAAATAATAAGGATTGAAAATGCTGGGAAAGAAGGGCAGGGCTGGGCGGTAATGACCTTCACTGACTGAACTGTTTGGGGGCCTGCAAGCTCTCTGTGGCTCTAACAGCCCTTTATTGGCAGACAGCATAGGGCAGAGTTTCATCAAAAACTGCTTAGACTGCCCAATGCAAGGGCTTTTGCTTAGGAACCTGGGGATGCACCATCTAGACAGGTGGCCCCTCAAGGTCGGTACCTCTGGCTCCTCAGTGTTTGCAGAGCAGGCCTAAGCTGTAAGCACCAAAGCAGATGGGGCCCCAGGAACGACTACCCAGCAAGCTCATCCTTGGGCTGTCTGTGGTGCTAATGCTCCCACCCATCCCGTGAGGCTAATGCTGTCGCTCAAGTAGTCTTCCCCGGTGGCCTGGGATCCCAGCTCCTGCTCTCTGGGTCCCTGTTGCCTTGTCCCAGCTCACCTTTCCAGAGGACTGGATACCCTTGACTACAGCCATGCCCACGATGCTCCAGGCCACAAGGAGGCAGAGTGTCATCTTCCAGTTGAGGCCCCCACTCTCTGAGATGGAGTTGGAGATGTCCAAGGCCTCTCGATACCAGAAGTAGGTAGTGGCTGAGCTCTTCTCACACTCGGGCTCCACCACTGAAACCAGAGGAAAGGTCACAGGCCTCAGCTTCCAGCCCTACAGGCCAGCTCCTGTGCTGGGCCCTGCCCAGGCAGCAGTGAGACAGTGGGTAGCCGTGGGAGGACTGTACCATGATCTGGCAGAACCTGAGGAATCCTGAGTTTCTGGTGGGACCTACGAGCCTTTGAGCCACAGTCACATGGCTGAATTCCCACCTCGATCATCTCTGCACAAAAGTGCCAAATTTGTCTAAAGGTTCTTGGGGGAAGGCCCTGAGACAGAGGCTGGAAATCCAGATGTCAGGTCACTGGTTAAAGGATAGTATGAGCGTGGGAAAGGGGGCTTCAGGATCTGTTTTCCCACCTATGGAGTGGGGCACACAAGTCAAAATTGTTCTTAGACATATGCTATTGGAGAAATAAATAACTAAGCAAAATTCAATCCCCGAGATCTCTGTGTGCTAGGTCAGCAGGAGATTAGTAGATCATTTCCTCAGGAGAAGGAGAAAAAAAGGTGAGTATTGGGGTGTGAAGTGGTTTCTCCAAGGTGACTCACTGAACCAATGAAGCCCCAAATCTTATTACTAAACAGTATAGACTCCTTCCTGGGACAGAGCTAGCCGAAGACCACAGCTGGGGTTCCTCCAGGGTCCCCACACTTGCCTGCCGCAGTTCCATTCCTGACGACAGGACACTCACTCCAGGGCAGCGGGTACTGGAAGGACTTGAAGAAGTAGAAGACGCTCCACCCAATGATCACATTGTAGTACAGCCCAACGAAGAGGCAGACCTGAGGGCAAGGGTCAGGGTAAGATCACGGAGGCTGCAGGTAAAGCCGCCCCTCCCTGCACTCCATCCAAGGCCCAGCAGCTCAAACCCAGCCCTGATGGAGGATGTGGGTGGGGCGGGGGGATGCAGAGATGGAGCGGGGGTTGGGGGTCTGCCCCCATTCCTCCTTCATCCATCTGGTACTCAGACAGTCCACAAAGGAATTCCTGGGCTATTAAAATTTTCTCCTTTAAGCAATAAACTCTTAAAATGTTAATCCTTTCCAGTTTGAAATTCCTGTAAGATACTTGAAGCCCTTCCCCCATCGTTTCCTGATGACTCAGGATTCTAATTAGAGATGCCCTCCAGGACCATGGAGACACACCACAGCATTGATCCTTTTAGGCCCAGATGGTGGTACTTTTTGAGATTGTGTGGATCGCTGGTTCTCCCACCTCTTCCCTTTTCTCGGGTGCTGCCCTTCCTTTGGAACAGTGAGCAGGCTGCTTCTAGAGAGAAAGCAGTAAGCTTGGCAGTTTTATTAAAATAGGAGGGATCTAGCAATGTTTAACAGGCAGGGTTTGGCTGTATCTGCTCCGGATGCTCCGAGGGCCCTTCCAGAGGCCTGGCTGTCCCAGATGATTTAGATTGCTTGTTAGTGTGAATGCAGAGGGCTCCTGGTCGCTCCCATTTCATATGAACAACTATGTGGAGGAGCACACGTTCACATACACAGAGAGAAAACGAGGGAGGGGGCTACGCTGGGATAAACACGCAGAGAAGCATCCCTTTCCTTAACTGTGTTGTTTCCAACCCAAGTAGAGGGTTCCCCTCCCCCTGCATGTGCAAACATGGCCAGCCTGGTGTTTACACTGTAGCTGGCCATGTGACGGTGATGCCTGGTTTGACAACAGGACAATCCTCCTACCGTGTTTGACAGAATCCTCAGTCCCTTCCAGAAATGAACTGCAGTTTTTATCTCAAGTTAGAGAGTGGGCACCTGCAGGTTTCATCTTTAAGGGATGCTCAGTTTCTTCAGCTGTATACAGCTCTCAGCACAATTTCATCGACAAACACACAGATGAGCCTGGAAGTCCCCATCCAAGGCCCAGGAGGTCTCCCAAAACCTCATGCCTCCTGGGTTGGTCATAAGGCTCCTGTCTGAATATTTCAACTGTTTGATTGCATGGCGCTCTAGCAAGGCGTGCTAAGCCATGTACATTTGAAACTCACTTCCCAAGGAAAGGGAAAGGAGTCCATGAGGAATTGGTAAGGAGTGGTGGGGACCTGGATGGTTTATCAGTTCCCAGATGATAAGGACTGAGATATCCTTGTGAACATGTCCCGTTTCCCCTCTTTTGCATCATTGGTGAATGTCACATATGGTTCCTGGCAGTGCTTTCATCTTCAAGTTTAGGAAATATGGTGACTATGGCCCCGAGACACCATCTGTGAATAATCTGTTGATGACCGCTCTCGCTCCCCTTGCGTTGGTCAGGACTCTGGCCTGTAAACCTGGTGACCTCTCCACAGTATCCCAACGTGGACCCTCTGCCTCCCACCCAGTGCCAGCCCCCAGCTCTGAACTCACAATACAGCTGGAGAAGCCGATGCCCCCCAGGCGGGGGCACACGTAGTGCCACACACCAATGCTGCCACGGCGGATCCTCTGGCCCACAGCCAGCTCCAGAAAGAAGAGGGGGATGCCAATAATGATCAGCAGCACCAGGTATGGCACCAGGTAGGCACCTGCAAGGAGAAGAGAAGGTGCGGATCAGAGAGACAGAGTGAGGGAAGGGGTGGCAGCCGTGCCCAACAGTCTCAGATATAGTGTGTGGGCAGTGACAACAAAGAAAGGGAAAGGTGGTATGTCCAACAGACTCAGCCACATCTTAGGCCATCTGGAGCTTCCCCGTGAATGTTGTTGCTCAAGGCTGGCCCATTCAGACTTTTCCTCTCCTTGATCCTCTGACTTGGGATGGGAAACAAGGGCGCATACAGACACCAGAGCCTTCCACTCGCAAGGCTGGATTCAGAAGCAGATACCTCATTGCCTCTCAGAGAGCCACATGTCAAGTCACAGACACTGGCCTCACACAGCACACACACCTGTCCACAGCCCTCCCAGATGTCACGGGTCCTGCTCGCTCATTCCCAAGGGCTCACTCCCACCCACCCTCCCTCTCTGTGGTCTGGCCTGCCGGCTTCTGAGACAGATGCTGACACAGCAGACTGAGCAACTCGAGAGAAGCCGAGCTTGGAAGCTCTCCAGGGAGAGGGTCTGATCAGCATCACCATTAATCCACAGCTAATTGGGAGGAATGGAAGAGAAATTAGTTGTTCAGGAAAGCGTGATAAGGGAATCATAAAGGATGGAATGATCTTGCTAAAGATTACAGATAACAAATTAATCTTGCTGTCTTAAACCTAGCTGCAGACACGATCTCAATTCCAAGTGACAGGGCATTTAGCAAGGGAATTAAAGCCACGGCTGGACATGGACGAGTGCACCCCACCAAGAGTTGTGCCAAGAACACAGCCCTGTTGGCAACACTATCAGTCAGGCCCTGCCTGTCAAACTGTCTTGCTTGTTCCTGTCTCCTGGGTTACCAAGCACCTTCAGGGAGATCCGCTCAAGAGAGGGGTCTCTGAAAGCCCCAGCTACACTGCTCTGTCCTGTAGTGGTATTTTATTTATAATCTAACAAATAAAGCTTGCCTTAAGATCAGAGTGCAGAGCTAAGACGCTAGTTAGCCATAGAGGTCAGGCAGTGGTTGCACAAACTTTAATCCCAGGACTAGGTAGACAGAGGCAGACAGACCTCTATGAGTTCAAGCCACCCTGGGCTACACGAGATTGAATCTGTCTAAAAAAAAAGGTGATTCTAGGAGTTGGGATCACATGCCTTTTGCCTTTAATTCCAGCACTAGCGAGGTGGAGACAGGAGTGATATGGCTGGGTGGAGAGAGGAATATAAGGCGGGGAGGAGACAAGAGCTCTGATGTAGTTTGAGGATTCGGTCTGAGCATGCAGTTTGAGGTTTCATAGAGACAGCAGTCAGTCTGAGGATCTGTAGAGACAGGATCGCCCCTTAGGTCTGAGCATTGGTAGAGGTAAAGGCTCTCTAATGGCTCGCTCCTTTGCTTCTCTGATCCTTCAGCCTTTACCCCCTAATATCTGACTCTGAGTTTTTATTATTAAGAACAACCAGAGTTCGCGCTACACTGTCCCCTGCAACTTACCCTTCTCAGGTGCACGCCTAATCTGCCAATGAACACTGGAGGTCAGGCAACTACTGGACACAAAATCTGTCAATCAGCAGCAAAAGTTGTTTACCATGGATCTCCTCCATGCCAGATTCAGGTTTTGGGGGATGCAGGAGGAACAGAAGACCCAGATGCCATCCTGGGAGACCTCGCGGGAGGCAAGTTCCTCAGATTCATTTAGGCAGTGTCAGCAGGCACATTCTGGATTGGTCACACCACAGGGGGCCACCTGAGCACACATCTGCTGAGGGAACCCATGGGGAGAGCCTTCAAGAGAAGCTTCCCACCGACTCTTGCAGAGCAACATCATTTTAACACACGCACAAATGCACACGCACACACGCATACACACAGACACACACGCATGCACACAAGCACACATGCATGCACAGGCACCCACCCATGTACTCACTCATTCATCCTATCACTCACAAGCAGCCCCATCAAATGCTCAGAAAAGGAAGGGCCTGAAAAGTCGTGGATATGGACCTCTAGCTTGGCTTGGTTTTTGGTAGAGAGAAACAGTAGCAACTTACTGTAGAAAGACGACAAGGAGGAGCCTCACTGGTGTTTTACTTTGCCTCAGGGTGCTCAGGAGGGACACGATGTATAGGGAGATGAGTGTTGGGGTGTCAGAGCACACTGCTCTCTCCTGTCTACGTTTCTCCCCTCTTCCCACAAGCTGGGGAGATCCTCTAAAAGTGATCTGTGGTCCAAAGGTGGACTGGCTTCCCGTGTCCCGTGTTCCTTCTGTCCGAGTCATGACTACAGGTCAGGGCCACATGGAGTTGAGTCTAGCCAGAGGGCTCAAGGCCAGGACACTCAGGTGAGCCGAGCTCATAGTTAATCAAAGGCTCTCTTGTGTGCCAATCATCACTGAGTTCACCCTCTTCTACCTTGGAAAACACGACCTGGAGGCAACCGGATTTCTTCTGACGCCACAGTGTCTCTCGGGAGTCTTGGGACGGAACAGCTGGGAGCATCCCTCAGGGCATTAGGATACTGGGTGGATCCTGACTCTCTGCACTTCGCCAGATCTCTTTCTATACACCATGCCTTGCTTTTGGCACAGCCCATTTATTTCTGGGGCTTAAGAGCTCACTTTTTTCTATTTTTGGCCTCCAGTCAACTGAAATATGGATTGAAAAGGAGCTGCGAACAGACTCTGTGATCAGATTATCAAGTCTGGAATCCTGGCTCTGCCACCTACTTTGCAACTTTGGACAAATTACTTGATCTCGCTTTGCTCTTGTTTTGTCATAGATGCAGAGTGAAAGTATTAGACGAAGCCATAGGGGATATCTGATATGTGTCCATTTTTTATTTACAAAAATGTCACTCCATACTCCTCCACTCTCTAAAGGGTGTTGTGAAGAAGGAATGAGGTACTTTGAACAGGAAGACTAAGTAAGAATGTTGCTGTATAATCTCAGGAGGTCTGGCTGGCAGAGGTGGGTCCCGGGGTGGTTCTTTGAGAGGAACAGCCTGTCCCTGATTCTGTATTATCCTGTTTCCTGCTACTCTGCCTTGCGATGAGCTCCCCAACGCACTTCCTCTGACACAGACACTCATTCGCATTACCACCTTCACAGGTTGAGCTCCCCAGAAACCCTCAGACAAACTGAGTCCTTCCTCTCTCAAGTTTCTTCTGTTGACTATTTTGTTCCAGTAACAAGAAAAGTAACCGATACAAAGGTGAGGTGTCCCTCTCTGAATGGAGCAGAAATTTTGGGAAAGGCTACAATGGTAGGAACTCGCCCGCAGGAAGAAGCTGAGTCAAAATACCTAGGAAGCTGTAGCCATCCAACAGGCTGGAGTGTGGTGGTCCCAGGGCAGGGGATTCAGGAGCTATGAGGTTCCCTTCATAGCTTTCATAGAAAGGATAGCTTTCTCGGGGACACAGGCGTGGGCCTGGAAATGCGGTTTCTAGCTTTCTGTGTTAGCACTGTCAGCTTCACTATAGCCATGTGAGAAGAGCATCTTGGCTGAGGGATTTCCCGGATCAGACTGGCCTCTGGTCATGTCTTTCTGGGATTTCCTTTATTAGTAATTGATCCAGAAGAGCCCCGCCCACCATAGGCGGCACCATTCCCTAGGAAACTGGTCTGGGCTATAAAAAAAAAGCAAACAAGGAGTCATACTGTGAGCAAGGCAGCAGGTAGTGTTTCTCCATGATTCCTTGAGTTCTTGCTTGATTTCCCTCAATGATGGCCTGTGCCCTCACTGAAGTTGCTTCTAGTTAGTATTTCATCACAGAAGAAACCAAAACATGCGCTGACCACGGTTTTCTTTATTTTCTGTAATTTCCCCATCATTTCAAGCCAGCCTGCCTCTGGAAAATTCTGATAAACTTCCACACTCTGGAGTGACAGCGCCTAGGGATATCTGTCTGCTCTGTGCTTTGTCAACCCCATGACAATTTTATAGGATGCCACGTGCGCAAAAGGAATTTGTATCCAGGTGCAGCGTGAGGATCCCCGAGAGGCAGCCGGCCCATGTGCTGTAATGCGCACAGGCCACACCCACCAGGTGGAATTCCATTAGCATTAAACCTTCATGTCACATGACCTGGGAAAATTATCCAACCTATCTGCGCCTTGGTTTTATAGTCTCTACAGTAAAGACAATGACCTCCTTAAGGTCACTGGGAGGAAAGGATGGGTGACCAGTGTGAAGCTGGTGCTTCAGTTGTTCCAAGATGCTCAAAGAGGAAGAGTTAAGCCATTAAGCGTTTACAACAGCGTTTCCTGTCTCTAAGTGTTTGATAGTAACAGCCAACAGTTGCTCTTTACCGAGGTAGTATATAAAAATCACTTAATCCTTTCAACTATCAAGAGTAGGCAGGAAACACTCTTATGTTCAATTTACAGGGTAAGCACTGACAAACAGAGGTCCAGCAGCTTGTACTAGGGCCCAGGCCTAACTGGCTATGCTAGAATGGGATCTGAACCGTGGCAGTCTGGAGCCACAACCCCATTCTTATCATAACCTCCAGCCTTTTTAGACCTATGAGCCACTGTGTGGCTCTTGTTCCGGAATTCTGCATTCCTATCTCTAAGGACTCCAGGTCTGCCTCAGCAAAGGCGTAGTCCTTTCTACCCCAGCCCAACCCATTTTCCAGGTGCCCTTGATCAATCGTGGGTACCTCTTACCTCCTCCATTTTTCTGGCACAGGTAGGGGAACCTCCAGATGTTGCCAAGCCCCACAGAAAAGCCAATCTGGGCCAGGATGTACTGCAATTTGCTATTCCAAGCCGGCCGGTCCTCTGCATCCAACTCCTCCTCCGCTGCCTTCTGCTTGCCACCTGTCTCGCCGGCCACATTCAGTACACTCTGCTTATAGTCTACAGGCTCCTCGAGGGCCAGCAAGTCAGCCACGGACTCGGTGACATGCTCATTGCTGTGTTCGCGCTGTGTCACCTTGCTGTTCTTCGGCATGGGTGCCACTGGGGCTGTGCAGCCCTGTTCCCCAGCACACAGAGAAGGTGGGCTTCGGCTCCCGTCAGCGATTTCTCATCCAAAGGCCTGTGAAAGCAGACAAGCAGTGGAGAATTGGTGGTCAATGCCAGAAATAGGGAACCTGAAGTAGACAGACAGAACCCAAATCAAGTCCTGGGATATATCCCATACTGGCCCCGAGTTTCCAAGTGTTGAGCTCAACTTTGTCCCCACCAGGATGCTCACTGGGGAGCTATTTTCCCATAGGTGTTGCCTGGGTATCACTAGAAGGTGCTAGAAACCTAATGGGGCAAAACCTGCAAAACCCAAATACAAGTCCTCTACCATGACCTTCATCTTTTATCATCATAGCCTAGAGTGGTCAAGACTCTGGAGATGCCCATACTCTTCCCCTTCTGAGGTAGTGTGGTTGTGACTTACACCTACCTCTGTTGTGTTCTACTTAGCCAAAACCACTTGTTGGGACCCTGGGGTGGTAGTTAATTTCAACTATTAACTTGCTGAATTAAGGAACACCTTTGGGTATTTTAAGAGGGTGTTTCCAGAGAGGATGAAGCCAGGGGGTACTAGGCACCCTGAATGTGTGCCATACCACCCCATTGGCTGAGGTCCCAGATGGAGTAAAAAGGGTAAAAGAGAGCCAATAAGTCAGCCTTCCCTTTCCGAGCTTCTGAGTCTGTGCAGATAGGAGCAAGCAGTCTCATGTGCCCACCTGCCACTGCCCTCACCACCATGCTTTTGTAGTTTTAATGTAATTGGTCCTGTAAGCTCCATAGGGAGGAGCATTATTAGGCTGCATGGCCTTGTTGGAGTAGGTATGCCCATGTTGGAGGAAGTGTGTCATTGTAACGGTAAGCTTTGAGGTCTCATATATGCTCAAGCCATGCCCAGTGACTCAGACCACTTCCTGTTGTCTGCAGGTCAAGATGTATGACCCTCAGCTCCTTCTATGTCTGCCTACATGCCGCCATGCCACTCCATGATGATAACAGACTAAACCTCTGCAAATGCAAGCCACCTTAATTCAATGCCTTTTCTTTATAAGAGCTGCTGTGGTTATGGTCTCTTCACAGCAATAGGAATCCTAAGTAAGACAAAGGCCTTCTTCTGTTAAGTTGCTTCTTGTCAGATCTTTGGCTACAGCCATGAGAAAATAATACACATAGAAACTCAGTGTCTGATTTCTCTAAACTCTTCCCTTTCAAAACATAATCCATGGGCCAAGGAGTCACCAGGAGTTTGGTAGAAATGAGAGCCTCTCTAGGATTCAGAAGGCTCCCTGAGTCTCACTATGGGGCTCCTGGACGGTAGCTACCGGGTTCCTCTCATTTCCCTGGCAGGAAAGGTGCCCAGGCTCAGCTATGGATTCTGGCATCAGAGCCCTAGAAATGTTCGCTTGATGCCAACAAATCCTGGGTCATTGCTCAGCACTGACATTATCTGAGGGCCACTGCAGCCAAGAGCTGGTTCTCCATCCTTCAAGCGACAGCTTTATGGCAGATAACGTCTGCACAACACGGGCGGGGGTGGCAAAGCCCTCCCCCCTCTGCCTCCCCGCATTTGTCTTTTACACTTTCCCTTACAGAAAGAAAGCACCAAGAAAACGAGTGCTTTGAAGAATCCAGCGCTCTGTTATATTTCAAGGCACCTCCTCATTAAGGAGAGGCTGGAGAATTTAAAATAAAACACACACACACACACACACCAGCCTACCGTTGCCCTGCATCTTTCTAGGGATGTAAATTAGCCAGCTCTGTAATTACTTTATTAAGGGAACAAGCTGTCTCTGGAAGCCAGGCTTACTATTCTTCTCATGTGTCTGTGCCCCCCTGAAAAGCACAGGCAAGGTCACTGTGCGGCAGAAGGGCACAAGGGATTCTTTCTTCTGGGGTTGATACAACCCTTCCTGGCTAACTCCAGCCAGGACCTGCTGCATGTGTGATAAACCTATGAGGCCCATATGATGATTGGGGTGGGGGCATCCATGCTAGTCTGTGAGACTGGCTAGCTCTCCCCAGGCCAGGCTGTGGAGCACATCAGAAGGTGACACCAACCTGCTCTCTTTGTTCAAGAACAGCAGTGAATTTTTGCAACTGCCCTCTCCACCCCAGGAACAGGACATCAAGGTCTTGGGCTTTGGAGGAACTGGGGCAGAGTCAGCCTCAAAATTCCCAATAAGACATTTTGTTGAGATTCCACAGTGAGCTAGCTGAATATTCCATTGCATCCTGGAAGGTGCCCCAAGTTGGTATAGTGGGCTAGTTGAAAATCGCAATGTGTCTCTCTCTTCTATGGCTTGCCTCACAGGACAGGATAGGCCCTGGGGAGACAGGCCAAGAAATTTGTGCCCCACTTTTCATGGGTGTCCTCTGCAGCATGAGAGAGCACCGAGGTAACCAAGCTGAGACTTCCGTGTCCCTTTTCCACACCCCTAAAGGGTGACCAAGGTGGCACTTGCATGTCTGTAGGCTCTTCAGCCCTCAGGACTCTCTTCCCCGCTGCCACATAGTCCATGCTACACAGTAAAGAGAACTACAGAAGTTATGTCCTAGGGAGGCCTGTGTTTGGACCTGGAAAATCAAGGCGAGTGCCCCCATGGACCCCACGGCACTCAACTGGAGGAAGCCTTGTCTGGGAACTTGCTCCTCCCCTGCAACTAACCTTGAAAGCTTTTACTGCAGATTGGAGCCAGGGATACTGGCTGAGGGGGTCTGGAGATTGCAATCTGGGATGCCTTGGCTTACAATTTCCTCCAGTTATCTTTCTCACATAGGATTTCATGGGATGTTCTGCAGTGCATTAGGTCTGATCATTAGGCTCGAAGTGGAAAAAGCCAGGGGAGATCCCCACCATCTGCAGAATCCGTCTCGATGCTAACCAGCTAGAGCACGTTTCCCCTAAACACCTGGAGAGTAGCAGCTCTAGTCGCTAATGCGGGGGGGGGGGGGGGAGTGCCACCACTGTCAGCTAGGAACACTCAAGGACAGAGGCGGCGCACAGTTGGGAAGAAAGAGCTGTTTGACCAGCAGCCGCAGGGCCACACTCAGTATGGCTTTCCTTCTCCTGATGTCACTCAAAGTGTCCTCCAATCTACGGGATGATGCCCAGGGACCCCTGTACCACTGGGTCTGCAGAATGCAAGCTCATGTTACCCACAATGAGGAAGTTCTGGATCCAGTGGTACTTTCAGGTGATGACCCAACATGACATTGGGTATATAGATATACATATATGTGCATGTGAGTGTGTGTGTGTGCGCGCGCGTGTGTGTGTGTGTGTGTGTGTGTGTGTGTGTGTGTGTGTGTAAACTAAGACTCATGGAGAGGAAATAAATTACTCAGAGTACTCAGGTCCCCCTGACACCCTAACAGGGTATCCTACCAGGATTGATGCTGTTGATCTGTGTGGGGGAGGGGTTGCAGGAAGGAGGCAGGCATCCCAGGATCTGTTCTGGGGAACGTGATGCTGCAGTGAGCAAGACAGACCCCTTTCTTTCGGAGAGCCAGATACTAAAGAAATAAATATCAAATGTAATGGCCAGGGGTGATGTGCGCTGCAAAGAGAAACAGCATGGGCAGAATGGCACCACCTGCCTTCATGCTGGGGAGGAAAGAAGTCAGGAAGGGCATCATCTGGAGCAGAGGCCCAAATGACAGGAGAGCGCACCAGCAGAGATGAATCACACACACACACACACACACACACACACACACACAAAAGCGTGTACGCGCACACATGCACACACACTCACTCATGTACGTACATACGTGCGCATGCCCACACACACTTATGAAAGGAAGCCCTGTGAGTAATTCAAGAACAGCAGTGTGATCCAAATGGCCAGGGCGAGGAGGGAGAGCAGGGAAGGCATGATGGGGAGTAAGGACTTGGACGGGCATTCTCCATGAGGTGTTGACCACACACTAGCTGTGTGCTCCTGGGAAAGACCCATTAGTTACCCAAGGGCCAATTCCCTCCTGATGAAAATGGCTCTATTTAATGACAGGCTCCCTCTCCCAGAAAGCTGGAACACATGGCTGGAAGTGCCCAGCACAGAGCTAGGGCCCAGCCACCGACAGCTACAGTCTGAAGGCCTGGCAGTATTCATCTTTGTACGTTAAACTATGTAAGATCTCATTTGTATTTGCTTACATGATTCCCCTCTTTCTCCTCAGAAGGAACCAGAGTGGCGCATGCCTTGAATCCCAACACTCAGGAGGCAGAGTCAAATGGATCTCTCTGAGTCTCAGGCCAGCCTGGCCTACAAAGCAAGTTTCAGGATAGCCAGGGCTACACAGAGAAACCCTGCCTCAAAAAAAAAAAGTAAGAAAGAAAGAACCAGAGTGAGCAGAGGTGTGCGAGGTGGCAGGTGGTTGAAATGGCCCCCTTTTCGTCTTTTGTGTTGCTGATGGTCCAACCCAGGGCCTTGTGCGCAGTGAGTGCTGCTGAGCTACATCCACACCCCAGAAATGCTCATTCTTCATAGCAAGAATGAGGCCCTCCTAGGGCTTCTCACCAGCACCCCACTCATCACACCCTAGAACCCAAAAGAGCCAAGTAAATACCATCAGCTCCAGGTGGTTTGGATCCAAAACCTCAGCAACATTATTTATAAAAGATAAGTATTATTAATAAAAAATAGCTCATATATAGCATTTGTGATCATTTGAAGCCATTTTAAAAAACATATCATGCTGGTGTAGCATGGGTATCGATTATGCTGGGCTTGGGTTCAAATCCCTGCCTCACTGGGTATCAACTGCCCAGGTTTCTGTTTCCTCATCTGTCACAGGTGTATTCTAAAGTGTCCCTCACAGCTCTGAGAATTGTCATGCAGGACAGCAGCCACAGACTCAAAGAGGTTCTCACAAATGCTTCTCTCCATGGGCTCTCGTTTGCACTCCACTCCAGCTCAGGGAAGCGAGCAGTAAACTACACGCATGTCATTTACACCCAGAAAAGGGCCACACCTCACAGGTCTACTCCTCGACCTGTTCATTCTCCAGGCTATTCACCATCCTTGACATGTTTTAATTTTTTATTGCATTTATTTATTTGTGTGTGTTGTAG